CACCGAAGGCTTTTATTGCACGCGCCGCACGCCGCAACCGAGAGCATTGCCGCACGCACCCACGCGGTTCGTGGCTCCACAGGATGCTACGCCGAAGGCTTTTGCCGCATTGGCTGATTGCCGCCGACCAGTCCAATCCAGCACCCCCTCACACAGGTTGGTGCCCCATAGGGAGTTCGACCGAAGCTTTCTTTCCCAGTACAGGCCATATGCCGCTGGCCAGAGCATGTCTCTTCTTAGTTATTGCAGTTCGTGGTTCCATGCGGAAGCCCGCCGAGGGCCCTTGTGGCACAGGCCGTTTTGCACTTTCTGGACCATGTCAGCATGCCCCGTCACGGTTCGTGGCCGCATAGGGAACGTCACCACAGTCTTTTGAAGCCCAGACCCATACCATTGCAGTTTTTTCTTCATACGGTTCGTGGCATCATTCGAAGTTCCACCGAAGGTTTTCGTAGCACAGGCCGTGCGCCTCAGCACTGTCTTCACGCGGCTCGTGGCTTCCAAGGGGGTTGCGCCGACGGTTTTCGTGGCAGAGTTCGCATTCACACTCGATGCGCTGGTGTGTGTTGTATGAGCACTGCGTTCTGAAAAGGGTTTGCTTCGCAAGATCAAGCATGTGACTATGTGTGAGGTTCGTCGTGCAGGTTTTCTGTGAATGCGTAGAACTGCGCCCTTAAAGAAGACGAGTCTGTCGTTTGTACGGCGGGTAATGTCAGTCATGCCAAACTTGGAATGCGCACTCTCTTGCACCCAGCATGGGAGCTGCCTTCGCCGTCAGCCCCGACCTTGGGCGAGCCACGCGCGTCGCTCCAGCTATTCCGCAAGACCGACTTCATCACAAGTGTGCATCACGCGTGCAAGTAATGAATGGTACATAACGGCCAGACGCGCAACGACACAAGATTTCCTGTATCGTTGCGTGCCGCCTAGAAACAACGATCAAACGTCAAGACCCTGACCCTGGAAGTTCGATTCTTGAAGTTCGCTACTCTGCCTCCTCATGCATTTTGGGGGACTCGTCGTCGTCGTCGTCGCCGTCGCCGCAGTCGTCGACGCCGACGCCAAGTCTTCGGCGGCCTCGGCCGTGGACGCCTTCGCTGGGCCTCCGGACGCCCTTTGGTGGCTGGCTTGGTTTCCAGCGGGAATCGTGTTCGTCCTCGTCGTCGTGGTCCTTCGACAATTGGTTCGACAAGGATCGGGTCTCCTCGCGCAAGGCCAAGACAATGGGCTACGACCGTCTTCGAGGGGGGGTCACCCCTACCCCCGTAACTGGCATTGACGGAATAGCCTTGTGCGTTTCCTCAACAGTTTGCTTTGCGAAGTGCCCTGCTTGTAGAGGTGCGCATTCTGAAGTTGGTTCTTGTGTCATTTGAATCCGAGGTTGCTCGATCCTGGCTCCTCCTCCGATGCCCACTGCCTTCTCTGAGGAGGTGGACCTCCCCCAGCATCCCGAAGCTTGAAAAAAGGTCAAGCTCGTCGAAAGGTGTCTGCTGTCACGCCCGACGAAGTCCTGTCTCAGCTGAAACGCATGCGGCCGGGCAAGGCGCCCGACGAGGGAGGTATCGTCGCAGAGCTTATTCGACATGGGAGCGCATTGCTTTTCAATATGATTGCTGATATTTTCTCAGCCGTCTTGAAGCCAGGGACAGCGATCCCGGGGTACTGGAAGGCGTCTTCAATACGAGTTTTGTTCAAGAAGGGTGATCCGAGGTTCGCAGAGAACTATCGGCCTATTTGCATCATTCCCATATTGTATAAATTGTTCAGTCGGGTGCTGTGCGGGCGCATATCTGGGATACTCACTGCAGCACAGTCGTGCGATCAGGCGGGTTTCCGGCCTGGCTACTCCTGCGATGACCACCTTTTCGCGCTGACCCTTATTGCAGAGAAATGCAACGAGTATAATTTGCCTCTTTGGGTTGCCACGCTTGATTTTAAGAAGGCCTTCGACTCGATTGACCACGGCAGTATTTGGGCGTCTCTGCTTTCTCACGGCGTTCCGCCAGCGTATGTGGACGTCCTTTCCAGACTCTACCAGGGACAACGCGGTCGAGTTCGGAGCGCTGCCATCAGCCGCGAGTTCGGCATCCGCAAGGGGACCAAGCAGGGAAATCCAATCAGCCCCATTCTATTCAATTCTGTCCTGGAGGAAGTCATGCGCAGGGCCAAAGTGAAGTGGGGCTCACGGAATTACGGCATTCAGCTTGGGTATGGTCCGGATTCGTTTGTAACTAACCTGCGATTTGCTGACGACATATTGATCATCGGCCGCACGTTGCCTCAAGTGAAGCAGATGCTGGTAGACATTGTCGAGGAGGGCGGGAGGGTTGGACTCGTCTTGCACCCTGCTAAGACAAAGATCCAGCACAATAACATTGGTTATGGCAGCCGCGTCAGGAAAGCGAGGATAGCTGGCATGGATATCGAAGTCCTGGATCCAAGGGAACATGCCATGTACCTCGGGAGGGCCCTCTCGCTAACCGACGCGCACGATTCGGAACTCACCCACCGGATCCTGAAGGTGTGGTCGAAGTTTGGCGTGTACCGTGGCGAGCTCCTCGACAAGGCCGTGCCTTTGTCCTTGCGGTTGAAGCTGTTCCACGCTGTGCTCACCCCAACTATCTTATACGGTTGCGTATCTTGGGTGATGACAGAGTCGAGGATGGCGCGGCTGAGATCCACCCAGCTGAAGATGACTCGCATGATCTTGGGGCGGAACCGCAAGCGGGAGCCGGATGGAGTACTGGAGACGTGGGTAGAATGGCTGCAGCGGGCTACCCCGGAGGCGAAGCGTGCGATGCATGAGTGCGGAGTGCCGCCTTGGGACGCCGAGCTGCAAACCCGCCAGCGTCGGTGGGGCATGCACGCGGAGGCGATGAGTCACGACCGTTGGGCGAGGAAGGCACTCAACTGGCAGCCGAGTGGTTTCCGGAGCAGGGGCCGCCCCGCCACGCGTTGGGCTGACCAGCTCGCATCTCTGAGCGCTGAGCCCTAAGGGCATGCTGCCGCGCGGGCGCCGCGCAGCACGTACTCAGCGACCCCCTCGTCGAAAGGTGTGCGGACGCGGCTGCTGCTGATGTTGCTTTTGTTGATGAGGATGATGCTCATGCTGCTGCTGCCGCTGATGATGATGGTGCTGATGCTAATGATGATGAAGACGATGATCATGATGGTGATGATGTTGATACTGATGATGCTGCTGCTGATGCTGATGATGCTGTTGATGATGATGATGATGCTGATGATAATGCTGATGATGATGTTGCTGCTGATGATCATGCTGATGAATTTGACGATGGTGATGGTGATGATGATGATGACGATGATGCTGTTGGTGATGATGCTGATGGTGGTGATGATGATGATGATGATGGTGATAGCGATGATCATGTTGATGATGGTGATGATGATGACGTGATGGTGATGCAGATTGCGACGGTGATGGATATGACAATGAGCATGGTGATGCTGATGCTGCTGCTGATGATGCCGACACTGACGATGATGATGCTGATGCTGACGATGCTGATGATGCCGCTGATGATGATGATGATGATGGTGATGGTGATGATGATGATGATGATGATGATGATGATGGTGGTGGCGGTGGTGGTGATGGTGACGGTGGTGGTGATGATGATATTAGTTATGGTGATGACGATGCTGATGATGCTGGTGATGGTGATGTTGACTGTGTTGATGGTGGGGATGATTGTGGTGGTTGTGATTGTGATATTGATGGCGACGATGGTGATGATGCTGTGGATGATGCTGATGGTGCTGATTATGCTGATGATGGCGACAATATTGATGATGCTGATGATGCTGCTGCTGATGATGCTGATGCTGATGCTGATGCTGATTATGATGATGATGGTGATGGCGTTGCTGATGATGCTGGTGGTGATCATTATGTTGCTGTTGTTGCTGCTGCTGCTGCTGATGATGATGATGATGATCATGATCATGATCCTGATCATGTTCATGCTCATGGTAGTGGTGGCGATCGTGATGGTGATGGTGATGGTGATACTGGTAGTGGTGATGATGATCATGGTGGTGGTGGGAGAAGGAGGAGGAGGAGGAGGAGGAGGAGGAGGAGGAGGAGGAGGAGGAAGAGGAAAAGGACGAATAACAAGAAAAGGAGGAGGAGGGGGAATGGGGGGGGGGGGGTGGGCCAGGGGGAGGGGGACGTGTAGGAGCGGGGAGGGGAGGGATGGAGGAGGTCGAAAACGAAAACGACGCTATGAGGAGGGGGGCGATTAGGTCGAGGAGGGGGCTGCACGCTCGAGGTCCCACTTCTGAGTGGGATCTCCAGCGTGTCTGGGGCGCCGCCAGAGCAGGCAGGGCCGCGTGCTCTCACAGCCCCGAGCCTCGATGCGTTGTTCTCTGAAAGGGGGGACAGGACGAGGAGGAGGAGGAGGAGGAGGAGGAGGAGGAGGAGGCTAGGAGGCTAGGAGGCTAGGAGGAGGAGGCGGAGGAGGAGGAGGAGGTGGAGGAGGATGAGGATGATGATGAGGAGAAGGAGGAGGAGGAGGCGGCGGAGGAGGAGGAAGGGGGGGAGGGGGAGGGGAGGAGTAGGCGGCGAAGGAAGCGAGGGAAGCTGAGGATACGCACGACGCGCAGGAAAGGGAGGGGCAGGGGGAGGGACAGGGGGAGAGGCGATTGGTAGTGGGCGTGGGACGGGGTCAGGAGGATGATCGGCAGGGTAGGAGGAGGAATGAGAAGAGTAATTACAAGACGACTAATCAGACGAAGAAGAACCATACTATGATGAAACGCAGACGACGAATGATCATAATAATAAGGAAACGTTTCATACTAGTTATACTACTGACAATAAGGTCAAACATAAGAAGAGGAGGATGATGATGACGAGGAGGAGGAGGAGGAGGAGGAGGAGGAGGAGGAGGAGAGGAGGAGGAGGGGGGGTGTCCGACGAGAAGGAATAGCATCTCTCCTCGAAGCCCTGCGCCCCCCCCCCTCTTGTCGGCCCCCAGGGCGCGCGTGTCGGGCACGCGGTCCGAGCTGCAGACACGCCTCGCCGCGCCTGGCCTCGCAGCGCGCAGAGGGGCCGCTGGCGGTAACCAGCCTGAGGCACTCCGGCCGCTCCCCTCATGTGGGGGGCGTCCGAGAGGGGGGTGACGGATGGGGGGGCGGGGTGGTTATCATGGCCGGTGCCATGGGATCATCGCTCCGAGGAGGAATTGGTACCGATACCGCTACCCCCATCGCTTCCAGCTCTCCGGGGCCTCTTGGGAGGCCCTCGTCGCCACAGCTGGATTCGCCACGACATTCTGGTCAGAACACACCCTAGGAGATGTCCGGTGAGTAGCAGTATTGGTACCTTTTCCCTACCCAGCCATGGGATCGCCCCCCAGATGTCATAACCCGGTTTTATTATCTCAGTACGTCTCCTGGCAACCCCCTCGTCCGCACACATGCCTCTGGCCATGATGTGCGAGCCCTTCCCTTTGACGCGCCTCTCTTGGACGCCCCCGATTCAGTCGGAAGAAGGAGAGTTGGCACTATCACTTTCACCACCAGGGAGGGGCAACCTCCGCCGAGGGGGTCTTCGATGCCTGCTCGAGCTGGTGAGATGGCGTGTCTCGAGCGAGGGGGTGGGACCACACCACCAGGAGGATCCTCCCCAGCGCCTCGCGCTGGTGGTAGTTCACCGCTCACCAAACCACCCCAACCCAACCCGAAGGCCTCAATTAGCCCTCCGTTTCCAGTTGGGGGGGGTCGGGGAACACTGAAAAAACACATGGAACCCGTACCCCCCCAAACCGCAATTCGGGTCGAATTCGGATCTTCGGGTTGGGCTGGGGTGGTCTGGTAGGCAGTCAGCAGTGGTGTCGCCTCTCGAAGTACCTCAGAGGCTTCGGGCAAGGAGAGGTCGGGGGCTTGCCGGGCTAGGGACACCGTCCTGGCAACACTCGAAGCGGGGGCGCTGCGTCGACGCCCGAACGCCCATGTATCGCAGGTAGGGGCCCGGTGGCCCACCCCGCCCAGGAATGTAAGACCATGCAGACGGTGGTGCGACGACATATCCCAACTTGTACAAAGTCGAATTGGGGGAATCACTCAACATTGGCTGGACTAAGCATGTGATCAGATACTTTGGGACAGTTGGGCAGACGACTTCCTCCACCACATTCAGTAAGCGGGCTCCGGCCCACCCGCGCTGCTCCTCAGGGGCCCGCCGGCTGGCCAGCGGACTCAGCGCGCTCTGCTCCGCTCCGCTCCGCTCCGCTCCGCCCAGGAATGTACGGTATCGTTGTCGAGGGCACCTCGCCAATGCATCGGCGGCGTATCGCCGACTCTACGTCGATGTGTCGTGAGTCGGGCATGTCCTGCTACCGGAGGAGTATTCAGGAACAGTTGCAAACAGTCTGGTGACGTTTTCTGTATGTTTTTTGTTTCTTCGTTTCGTCTAATTGTTTTTTCTTCCAATATTCGCCTGTAGGAGGACATGAACGACCTAAGATGTACCCTCCTCGGGCCAGTTCCCCATGCTGCTTCCCCCTCATCGTCAGGGTCCTCGCTGAGATCCGAGCGTCACGAGGGATGCTCACATCAGTCGTGCGCGCCCTGTTTCGGACCGCCGGCCCTCACACTTCTATTCTGGCCCGAGAGGTGCCGCAGGAAGACTGGGCCCAGGGTTCCGAAAGCAATTGCTGCCGTTGTTGTTCGCCACGTTTGACCTCATGGTTTGGATGCCTCTGGGTCCCTCCGGAGACCTCGGGGGCCTTCGAGGCTCCTCGGGGTCCGCTTCCAATCGGTCGACCTGGTTCGGTAGCGATTCCGGCCGGCAAGGTCCGACTCGGTTCCGATGTTCTAGCGCTCCGATACGGCCCGATGCCTGCACGGCGTTGTTCTGCCATCTGGCACGGCCGGTCTCGTTCGATTTTGGCCCCGTGCCGATGCGGCCCGATCCGACACACGATCCGATCCAATCCAATTTCCCGACTCGATGCCGCCTGATCCAGCCCTCGTGTCCTCTCTCTCCCCCGCCTCTCCCCTCCTCCACCTCGCCGTCGCCGCAGCCGCTGTTTCCGTCGCCGCGCCACACCGCCGCCGCCGCCGCCGCCGCCGCCGTCCCCGCTGCCGCCGTCGCCGTCGCCGCCGCCGCCGCTGTCGTCGACGTCGTCGCCCCCCCGAGGGGCGCGCGTCTCTCTCTCTCTCTCTTTCTCGCTATCGGGAGTCGTCTCGTGTCGCGGGGATCTCCAGGAGCCCTCCCCCTCCTCGAGATTGGCATCCTCGCCTCCTTCCTCCTCCGCACCCACCGATTGGAGCAGGGGTGCGGCAGTCGCCTCCTGCTCCTCCTCGGCGCCCCTCCTGGCAGGATGCGAGCCCAGAGTCCGCTGGCAGCAGCTGCACCAGCACGCCGTGCGCGAAGTTCACGCGCGTGCTGTCGGAGCCGCTCGACCCGCGCCTGCAGAGCCAGAGGCGCGCGCCGGCTTCGTGGCTGTCGTCGTCGTCGTCTTCGTCGTCGTCTTCGTCGTCGTCTGCGTCGTCGCCGTCTGCGTCGTCGTCACCGCGTCGTCGAGGGGGCGGACGAGGCGGGAGGAGGAGCGGGGGGCTAGAGGTGGGTGCAGGAGGAGGGAGGGAGGAGAATGGGACGAGGGACGGGGAGCAGGAGGAGGGATGGTGGGGGAGCACGAAGTGGATGAAGGGGGGGGCAGTGCGGGGAGACGAGGAGGAGAGGGATCAGGATACAGAATGGTAAGGGGCGGGGGAAACGAATGAGGATGAATAAGGATCCGAGAGGGATGAGGAGGAGGACGACGATGAGGAGGAGGACGACGACGAAGGGCGGGAGGTGGATAGATAGAGCGGCATTGGGGGGCAAGGCAGTGCATTCGGCCGCAATGATAAGCCCCCGCCGTCGCCGCTCAGAGCGGCACCTTCATTGTGATCTCGGCGCCACGCACGCCAATCACCTTGCCGAACGAGGCGTAGTCGTATCGGCCATCCATATTCTCGTACTCGTGGTCATAGCCCTGCCCTCCACGAAGCCAGCTCGTCCTCCATGACTCCCTTAAGTGGTTGATCCGTCTTCGCCGTAGCTCCCACTTGGATCAGCGCGCTGTGGTTGCTGTCCTTGGTGTTGCGCTGCTGCTTCCGCTCCTCTTGCGGAACCTCCTCGGCCTCGGCGACGGTTCTGGGCCCCTGCACGAGATACAGTGTGAATTTCGCGTGGTAGCTGTCATCGCACTTGCTGAGCTTCAGGTGCTTCACTTTGTAGAGGTCTGTCTCCACACTGAACTGGTCCACTAATTTCCCGTGCTCTGTGAGACTGCTCTTAGTATTGACACCCAAGTCCGCGGGGGAGGGGGACGAAGCGAGCGAGCGTCCCTTGCCCGCCTCCTTGCGCTTGTCCGCGTAGATCTTCCTGCAGGCATGGAGCGCCTTGATCCCCTCGGACTGAGCCGACATCGGATACGTGCTGTAGACGGCGAAAACGACCCAGGCGATCTGCTGAGTGTTGGACATCACTTGCTTGATCATCTCCGTGAGCAACTTCTTCAGCTTGAGGTCGCCCTTGGCCTGGAAGGCTTCTCCTCCGCGTTGTTGGCGCGCGGGGTATTCGCGGCACCGATGAAGCCAGCAGCCGCGAGCCTGAGGAGGTGGATGTGGCCACGGCTTGGACTTGAGGCCGACGCGGTACGCGTGGTTGAGGACTGGCTCGAAGCTCTCCTGCGCGAGGGGGGGCTCGGCGAGCTCGTCGTCGTAGCCCACGCCAGTCGACTTCGGCTGCTGCTCGGTGAAGTAGGTGGGCTGGAAGGTTATCTGGAAGATCTCGGCGGGCAGTATCCAGTCTGGCGCGGGGGCGCACTTCTTGAAGTACTTGAGCCGCTTGGTGACGCCGTAGAAAGCTCGCGTGATGCCGTCCTTGGCGTCCTCTTGTTCCTGGCGAACTTGTAGGTTGTGCTCTGTGGTGAGCTCGTGGGAGGTCTCTTTCGAGATGCGCTGCTCCTCCTTGAGGTCGAGCTGGCGGGCACTAAACCCTCCGTGCTGGCCGTCTGCTGCAATGTGAACTACCCACTCCTGCACACTGGGGCGTGCTCTGGTCGCGCGGCTGTAGTTGCGGTTGCGCGTGCCGTATTTGGAGCTGGCCATGATGCGAGACTGTTGAAGAACTTCGGCGTGTTCTCGTCGTTGCCTAGCCTCGTAGGTGCGCTCCTCGAGGTGCTGACGTCGTGCTTCGTGCTGGCGCTGCTGCTTCTTGAGGGCTCGTGAGAGGACCTCGATGTGGTACTCGATCTCGTAGTTGGGGTCGGTCCCGAAGTACTCCTCTCTGAGCTTGGTGCACGCCTGGGGTCGCCGCAGACGTTCGTCCTTGAGCTGGTGGTACAGTTCGAGCTTGGCTTTCGGGCGCTCGAAGACGGGCATGGCTGCCTCCTTCATGAGGATCGCGAGGAGCCCCACAAGCTCGTCCACTGTGTTGTCCCCGGCCAACTTCTTCAGTTTGTCTTGGTGCTTGCCGACGTAGAACTCCGTCACGTCATTGAACTCCTTGTGGTACTTGCCCTTCTGCAGAGCCAGGGCCGTCTTGTCGTAGTCCCAGGCGGTCCTCTTTAAGTCGATGAACACGTTCGGTATGATGACGTTGGCGGCTGCATTCGGTAGGACAAGGTCGCGCGGCACGTAGTAATTGATGAATTGGGGGGCCTTAATCATTCGCCACCAGGCTCTGCAAGACGTATTGTGGTAGCATAGACCGTGAGGCACTGCAATGTAGTCGAGACTTGTGGCCTGCCCGTGGGCACTGAAGTACGTGGGCCCCGCTTCCCAGGAATTGTTCAGGATGCACCTGCCGTGCACGTCGTGCGTGTAGTGGATGGCAGCGGCTGCCGCTCCAGGTACTCTTGTAGCGCCTGGGTCGCCGATCAAGTTGCTAAACTTGGCGGGGAGCAATCCGTCCTTGCCGTAGTAGTCGTTCAGGACTGGGCCAATGCTCGGCGTACTCCTGGTGTGCTTCACGTTCTGAGTCTGGTTGGTCCTCTTGAGCTTCTCGTTGATCGTTTTGACCCGAGCGTAGTGGTGCTTGGCGAGCCCTGACCGTAGAGGTGGAGACGCAACAGTGAACTTCGTGTCGAGTCTTCCTCGGCGAAGGCGAACTGCTCCTGCACGTCCTTGAATGCTCGGTGGCGGGCTGGGAAGCGCGGACACACGATTGATGCGGTAGAGGTTGCAGATCGCGCTGGTCACTCCCGCTTGATTGTTGGTGGTAGGGCCGCTGCCGAAGCTCCTCTTGACGAAGCGGTGCAGGTAGGTCTGGTGCTGGTCGTCGGGGCTGGTGGGGGCGAGCTGCCTCCCACGAGTGGCTGGTAACATGATGACGTCGTCAGCGCTGAACTGTCTCGACATCTGCCAGCTTCTCTGCCAGCTTCTCGGCGGCGCGACCGTGCTGAGCGGGTTATACACGCCCCATCGCAGGAATATCTTCCAGAAGAACGCGAGCGAAGTAAATATGGATGGCCAGCCGCGCTGGCATGACATGAAGGGTGCCCTGGGGGCGGAAGCTGCTCTGCGTGGGGTGCCTGCTGGGTCGCGAAGAAAGGGGCTAGAGCAGGAGACGGCGGCTGCGCGGGAGGTGGAGGAGGAGACGGTTCCCGACAATATGGAATGGAGAATCACGGGGGAGAAGAATGGTGGAGCAGGAGGAGGAGGAAGAGGAGGAGACGGACTCGGATGATGCGCAGTGGGAGAGAATGAGGGCGATGGGGAGGAGAAAGTGGACGGGCTTACGTGTGCGTGTGTGAGAGAGAGGGAGTCCGTAGGAACAGGCGGGATGGAGGAGACGTAGGAGGAAGGGTCGGAGGACGCCAATTCTTTGCCCACACGCGCCGAGACAGGCCGGGTGATTCATGCCCGTTCTTTTTTGTTCCTAGGTCGATGGCGCACGCATTTTTTCGACAGGCGTCACCTTGGAGCAGGGACTGGCTGTGATTCCCTCAGGGGATCTGAGCTCCAGAGGTCCTTCCCTGGCTTCATACCGAAGCTCCCAGAGGGCGCCGGTCCCGCTCGTGACAGGGTGGCTTCGCCACCTATTCGAGGCTCCTCACATGCATGCTGTCAACCATGAAAGTAAGGATGGGGCAACTTTCCAAGGCTACCCTTGCATCCTTGCCCTTTCGGTATTCGGCATCCTTCGGCATTCTGCTGCGCTCCGCACGGAAAACGTCAACATGGCGTTCCGAGGCCCTTGCATCCTTACCGCGCATCCTTACTATCCTGGTCGAGTGCACTCTGGCCGCAGGCCACTCGGCCCGGGTCGACCTGGCCAGGTTCGGAGTGCCGTGCCCATGAGATGTGTGTTCCCGTCGCTTGATGTGGCAAAGCTGGTGCACTGGTGCCCGCGCGCTGCGTGCGTCCAGCACCAGGCATTCGGCTCCCCGCCCTCGCTTCCCAACCCCACAGTGGAGCTGGGTCCTCGTTGTGAATCCGCAGCGTCGCGCGTCTGGCACCTCCCGCTGCCCCCTTCACTCCCCGCCTCGTCATCACCTCAGTGCCTCTGCTCTCCGCACGTCACGCCGGCAAGCTTCGTGGCGGCCATGTAGGCAGTTCCACCGAAGGGCCCTGCAGGGTCCGCATAGCGTCCCCCCAGCCCTGCTGACACGTCTGGTGACCCTCAGGAGCTCCACGGAATGCCCCAACGGCAGACCTCGCGTGGCCTCCTTCCGCACATTTCGGCACACCCCTCAAACGTTTCGTGGCCCCACATTCAGCTCCACCGGCGCCCCAAATGGCAAGATCAGCATGGCGCCATCGCTTCATTTTGCTCCCAGCGGCGTGGTTCGCACAGCGTTACCCCGCGCATGGCAGCACCCCCTCAAATGTTTTTTTCCCGACAGGGAGCTCCACCGAAGATCCCAGTGGCACTGTTCGAAGAGCGTCCCCCGTCTCACTTCGGCACGCGCCCCCCGCCCATTTCGGCTCACACGCCATACTTTTAGTGGGCCCCACTCGGAGCTCGACCAGAGGCCCCAGTGGCAAAGTCCGCAGCGCCCCCCCGCACATTCTGCCCCACTCCTTGCGCACTCCGTCGATCCATGGGGAACTCCGCGGAAGGCCCCAGCGACAGGGCTTGCATAATTTGCGTCACCCCGCACATTTCGGCATGCCTCTCGCACGTTTTTTGACCCCATTGAGAGCTCCAGTGGTAGGGTTCTCATAGCGTCCCCCCGCTCAATTTGGCTTACCCTTGAAGCGTCTCGTGGTCCAATGGGGAGCTCCCACAAAGGCCCCAGTGGCAGGGTTCGCATGGTGTCCACCGCCGCATGTCGGCACACGCCTCATACGTTTCGTGATCCAATAAGGAGTTCATCCGAAGGCCCAGTGGCAGGGTTCGCTTAGCGCTTTACCCGCCGGTTTCCGCACACGCCTCACGCTTCATGGACCCATAGGGATCTCCACCGAATGCACCCGTGGCAAAGTTCGCATGGCGTTCACGCAGAAGATGGCACCTCCCTGGCACGTTTCGCGGCCCCATTTAGAGCGCCAAAGAATGCCCCAAATGGCAAAGTCCGCATGGCGGCAGTGCCTCAACGCCCCTGGCACTTTTCGTTGCCCCATTGGGAGCGCCATCGAAGGCCCAATGCCAAAGTCCGCATGGCGCCACCGCCTCATTTATGCACACCCCTCACTCGCCTCGTGGCCCCATAGGGAGCTCCACCGAACCCCTTTGTGAAAGGGTCAGCACACTTTCCCCCCGCGTCATTTCTGCGTACCTCCGACACGTTTCATGGCCCCACAGAGAGAGCCACCGACTGCCCTCGTGAGCCTCGCCCCGTAGGGACCCATGCTCCGAGTTGCATCACTTGTGGCGCGCTGCCTCTGAGGAGTTGGCCATACCTCACGCTACTCACAGCTGCATGGGGTTGTCTCCTTCGTCAGGCTGAGTGTCCTCTTTGTCTTCTTGTGCTCATCTGCAGTTACACATTGGGAATGCTACCCCTCCCTCCCCGGACTCCATCTGGAAAATCGTCCATTCTCTCCGCGTACCGTTCCTCACAAGATTTCAGATTTAGCTCTTGCATGTTTGGCTCTTGCGCACCGGTTTTCAAGGGCCTCAGTTTCGGATCGTTGGCGTTTCGCCTCCGTTGTTCAGAATGGCGCTCTCGCCACAGACCTGGTCACTTTTCTGGATCCGAGTTTTTTTGCCTTCGTTGTCGCCCCCCTCATTTCCCCTCCGCCTTCCTCTGGTCCTCCTGCTCCTCCCGCTCCTTCCACTCCAGCTCCTTGTGGTGCTGTTCGTCCTCGCCCTCCCTCTTCCACATATTCTTCCTGTTCCTCATGTTCCTCATGGTCATCCTCTTGCTCACCCGCCACCTCCTCCTCAGCTCCCAATTTCCGCTTGCGCACGACACGATGGGGTGCATTGTTGGAGTGTCAGGTCTTCTGTCTGGCGCGTCATGGGATTAAGAACACATCAGCGCAATGGAACTGGATGGGAGGGAGAGATAGGATATCAGATGTGTCGCGAGCGCACTTAGCTTGCCTGCACCCTTGCCTCCCCCAGTCTTCAGCGCAATGGTGGGGCGCGATTAGTTTGTATCATTTGCTGCGTATGCGTTCTGTTGGACAAGCCCTCAGTCCTCCGCGAAATAGGTTTTTTTAGGTGGTTGTGGTGCGACTTCGGCCTCTCCGGATACAGTGCACTGCTCCGCGGCAGGATGATGTGACAACAGTTCAATATTCTTTCTTGGATGCGCCCTCAGTCCTTGGCGCAATGGGGGAATTGTTTCTTTCAGGCTGTGTGCAGATACGTCGGGTCTCCGGATATTCCGTTCGCCTATGCGGACGTGCGCATTGGTTGTTTGATCATCGGATGTACGATTCTTTGCAATTTTTCTTTGCGGCCCGGAGTACGCCTTCTGCAATTTCGAATGAGTTCGCACCAGTTCGCAGCTTGGTTGGTGAGCATCCACTACAGTGCCGTTTTTAATACATGCTCCGCGTGCGGATCAAGTATTTGAAATGCAGGGTTTAGTATGAAAAACAACGAGGAGTTCATGCATAAATTCATTCATGAATTAATCCTGCATTCAAAATCCTACATTTTTTGAAAATCATATGTATTAAAAACTGCCCTGTACCCTGGATGGGGTGGGTGACTGGTCAAGAGGGCTTGCTGAAAACATCTCCAGCTGGCAAGCAATGATCGGGTTGACCCAAAAGGGGGTCCAGCTGTTAGGGGGTGGTGCAACAGATTTGGGGCAACTGTATTGCAAATGTGCTGCGCCGGATAATTGTGTTGCGTTGTATTGCAAGTAATGTTTTGCACGCGAAAATCAGGCATTAAACTTGCGCCACGGAATGTATTGCACGCCCCAAATGTACTGCAACGCCACAACTCCCTTGCACCAAATCTATTGCACCGCCCCCTTGTCGCTGGACCTCCTTTTGGGTCAACCCGAAGCAACCTCTGTGCCCGCATGGTGTTCTAGAAAACATTTCTCTCCCGCCCCTTTGTCCTGTCCATGCCTCCCCTCGCTCAGTTCCCTCCCCCATCCCTCTCCGCCTGTCGTCCGAATCCCTCGCTCAAACTGGTTATACTGTATGTGCGTTTATCTTTGCTCGCTCCTCCGCCATCCGCGCTCCGCGCTCAATCATTCTTGCCTTTACCCTCCGCGCTCCACCATCCCTGCTTTTATCCTCCCTCGCTGTCTACGCCCTTGTCGGCCCTGTTTGAACCCTTGAGCGGGGGCGAGGATGGTACAGACAGCGCCGGGCGCGGAACGGACTCCATGCCTGCTGTGTATGACCACATAGCTTCCACGTTCACAGTGCAAGACGTACTCGTTTTGGGCTCACGTTGGCAAGCGCAGGCCCCACATGCACGGTAATGCATGGGGGCGATTGCAAGATATGTGGCGTAACTTGTGTGATGTAGGCTATGTGTTGCGAGCCTTGCTGCGCAAGCTGTGTGGTGCAAGCTTTGCGGTGCACAGTGCGCGTAAGCGGCGTGTGGCGCAAGCTCGGCGGTGCCATTGATGCCACCGCCCACGGGGCTCCCGCGGGGTTCCCCCGGGTGGCCGCGGGCGGCCACCGGGTTAAACTGGAGCACGCCCGCCCAGAGCACGGAGTGCCCACGAGGTGCCCTCGGACGACCACGGTCAGCATCGTTTCACGGGCTCCCATCCCCATCCTCATTTTCTCCGAGACCCCCACCAACTTACCACCCCAGTTGGTTATACACCCCTCGAAGCCCGAAAGGAACGGCCTATATCCCCATCTAGCGGGGTAAATCGGCCAGTGGGGCCCAGGCCACGCCGCTGGAGATGGGGATCGGTGAAACGGTGCTCACACGGGAGGCAGCGCGGCGAAACCGCAGAGCGCTTATCACAGTAGTGAGAAGCTAAGTGGCACCCTCCCGGTGCAAACGCTGTCTTGAGAAGAACTGACCGCGAAGCCAGTCAAACGTGCGAGCCGGCGCGCGCGAACCGGAGGTCGGACGTGTTGCCGCCCGCCGACGAGGCGCACAGGTGTTTCACCGTTGCGGCTCTGCCTACGTGGCGCCCACGATGAGGTGATCCCGTGGCGAGCTCTGACAGCCAGCGTCCCTGGTGGAGGAGGAGCAGCATAAGTGGAGGATTGTGGCTTTGCTCACGTGGCGCCCACGATGAGGTGATCCCGTGTCGAGCTCTGACAGCCAGGCGTCCGTGGTGGAGGAGGAGGAGGAGCAGCATGCGTGGAGGAGGAGGAGGAAGAGGAGCGCCAGGAGGAGGAGGACCCGAGACTCCAATCACTCCGCCGAGAAACGATGGAGCCACGAACTTAAGGGAAACACGGCTAACACATAGCTACATGGATGTTACCGTTCAGGGGATCACAGTACGCGGGTGACACCCGGCTTTTCTGGTCTTCAGGACCGTGGAACTGAGCCGATTGGATTCCAAGGTAATTTGGCCAGTACAGTGGGCTCTGAGTACAGGGGACTGTCGCGTGGAGGTTGACCCCCAACAGTCCAGGTAGGAAGCAAGAGGGCCTTCGGTGACCACGTGGTGGCCACGGAGCACCTCGCCGAGCGCAGGCTCGGTACCAGACAGTACCAGCCTGCCCAGCACAGTTACCGGCACCACCAGGCCCTTCGGCACCTGGCGGAGCCCCCTCGAGAAATCACTGCCCGTGGCCTGATCCTGGTGGCCGACCTCGGGCCCCAGGTGTCCGCCGCCCGCAGTGCTATTGTGATGGCGTCCTCGCGCGCCGTCGGCAGCGGAACGGCAGCAGCGGAAGAGGAGGAGGAGGAGGAGGAGGAGGAGGAGGAGGAAAAGGAGGAAAGGAGGAGGAGGAGGAGGAGGAGGAGGAGGGGAGGGAGGAGGAGGGGGAGGAGGAGGAGGAGGAGGAGGCGAGGTGAGGAGAGGAGGAGGAGAGAGGAGGGAGGAGGAGAGGAGGAGGAGGAGGAGGGAAGGAGGAGGAAGAGGAGGAGGGAGGAGGAGGAGGTGAGGAGGAAGGAGGAGGAGGGGAGGTGTGCCCTTGCAAGGGCCATCAGCCTCTGCCAGGCGGATGGCGCACGCTCCGTGCGGTCCGCGCGCCTCCAAGCGGCCCCAGAGGAGGCCGACGCGAGGCAGACCCCGCAGTGGCAGCTCGCGGCCTTGCGAACCAGGAGGTGGCGCTGCTGCACTGACTGTACGCAGCGGGTGCGGGCGGCCTCATCCTCTTGGGCACCAGATCGCTGGTGTCCTCCATCCTGGTCTGCCGCCGCCAGGAGCCAGGCGAGAAGTCGAGCCTCATTTCTCGCGTCGGGCATCTTGATGCGGCACAGGCCATGCAGCGTGCGCGGCGACACGTGGCCCTGGTTGCCTAGCTTCGCGAAGAAGTCGGCCCAGGCGTCGCCGTAGAAATCATTGACGTCGTCCCGACTACCGCTTAACAGGAGCGGTGGTCGGCGTCCACATGCGCAGGGCAGCAGATTACCCCAGAGCGGAGTTGCTTCTCTACGACCTGGAAGACTTTGCGCCAGATGTCCGCGTACTGGCCGCTCAAGCTGGCGAGGTCCTCGCACCACTCGTCGACCTCTTCGTCGAGGGAGGCCAGGTCCGTGACCACGGGAGTCTCAAGAGCTGCAGCCAGGCTCATCGCTTCACCCGCCCCACCGCCTGTCGTCGCCCAGGCAAGGCGTCGCCGTAGACAACACGGATGGGTAACTTGTCGGTGCTCATCTGGAGCACCGCCCAGCCGCACCTGCAGAGCTCGGGTCAGGAGGTGTCGTAGCCAGGGCCGTCGCTGTAGACCACCTTGATTCGCCACCCGGCATTGGATCTCCAGTCGCCCCAGAAGAAGATCGCCGCTTCCGTCGCAGGCTTAGAGAAGTCGCAGGGGATTAGTGGAGGCCAACCTCCACGTCACAGCGGTCGTAGCCTTGGTCCCCGAGGCCAATGGAGACCCCATTCATCATGCGCTCGCGCACCTTCGCCCCCTGCTTGCTGCTGGCCTCGAGCTGGCCTCGGTCGTCGTCGTCGTCGTCGCCGTCGTCGTCGTCGCCGCCGCTGTCGTCGTCGTCGTCGTCGTCGCCCTGCGCCAAAATGTGCGGGCAGCCAATGAACTGGCGGTCTCGCGTGCACACGACCTGGCCATGGCAGAACGGGCAATGTGGACTGGCGACGTAGCCCATCTCGTGCCGCTTGTCCAGAGTTTGCGGAGCTGACCGCTGACCCGCGCGCGCACCAACCAACGCCGCCCGCGAGGGCACCATCACAAGCCACATGGCACGGTGCCACAGCGTGGCCCCAGCCGGTACCGAGTCATTACGGCTCAGGATTTGCCGCCCTTGCAAGCGGCGGACGCCGTCCTTCACGAGGTGGGCGACGTCTTTGGGAGGAGTCTGCAACAGCTCCAACATGTTGCCCAGATCCGTGACGAGGATAAGGCTCGACTGCATCGTCGAGCCAATGCTGAAGAGCCTCTACCAGGGGCCCCCGCGAGCCCGCCCATGTGGGTTTGCTGCCAGCCAGGAGCGCTCGAGGGCCTGCCAAGGCGGCCGTCCCAGACGAACTCGCAGTACTTGACCAGTGGCCTCACCGTGATATCGAACATCGGGTCCACGTACTGGCCGCGCCGCGTGGTGTCGTGGAAACGTAGGCTTCGAGTGCGCCGGAACTCGGGTTTGCCGAGGCTTTTTGACGAGCGCGTCCTGGATTTTGACCGTTCAGCTTTCGTGGGATGTTTGCAGCGGGAGTTCGCGTCAAATGTCAGATTGGGTCTCGTCATTTCCATGATGGCCCCGGCTGGCTGGCCGAGAGCCCCCGAACCCGAGTCTTACGTGTCCCCGAAGGTGGAGCGTGATCGAGTCGGCCCCTGCCTCGCCTTCGCCGCTGCAGAGCACGGCCGCCGTGTGGCGGAGCTCGGCGAGGTGCCCGTCGGTGACGCCGCCGACCGTGGCCCCCGTGCGCGACGGGGCCCGGATCCGCAGCGCAGCCGTCCGCTGGAAGGGTCATGGACCCGAGATTGGCGTCACACCAGCATGCTAGTATTACCAGTTTGAAACATATCCCTATCCCTATATTTGACATCACCTCACCTCGATGCCGATCTTAAGGATTCCCTCAGTTTCTCAGGGCCTATCCCTAAGATTTGTCCTCGCTTTTTGCTCGCCCATCTTAGGGATAGGGATACGTTCGAGGCTGGTTATAGTAGCATGTGTGCGTCGCCCCCCAGAGGCGACGCGTGCACCGAGAACTCTTCTGGTAGATGTGTCGTGGCGGGCGCTTTCTGGCCGTGCCGCTCGGGAGACGATCTGCTCTGAGATTTATGTATTCTATGTTTGGGTCGGACGGACGCCTCCGAGGAGGACACATAGCTTTAGTATGTCCTTGTGCGTCCCATAAGAGTCGGAGGACGAAAGGGTACCCATACCGCTACCCTTCCCTTGTTTTCCCCCCTTTTGGGCCTCCTGGGAGGCCCTCGTCGCCACCTCTAGATTCGCCTGGAAATTCTGGTCAGAACGCACCCCGGCCGAGGTCCGGGGGGAGTGGCGGTATGAACACCTTTGGGCATCCCCAGGTTTGGACCTTCTCTCCCAGGGGTCGTTTTTTTATCCTGAGACGTTGTTTGGCAGTCCTGTGGCCAGGCATGGGCCCCTGGAGCTCGAATATTGTGTAAAACATTCAAGACGCGAGGAGGTATGGGTCCTCCTTCCCACCCTCCTCAAGAAAGGCCCGATACCGACAAGGTCCGTAATTTTCGATCCTCCTCCTCCAGGGGAAAGGGGAAGGATGATGGATGATAGAGGTTGAATGACGAGGAGGGGAACGTGGGAGTGGAAGGAAGAGGAGGGAGGAGGAGCAGGAGGGATCAGGATGAGGAGGAGGAGAAGAAGGAGGAGGGATGAGGATGTGGGAGCGACAACCAGGAGGCTAAGTAGACCTGGACCGAAGATGCATTAGCGATGCTTACAAGTTCCTACACGCCTTCCTTTTACTACAAGAAACACCCCCCGTCAAAAAAAAAGCCAGCACCCGATGGGCCCACTTTTTGGGCGATAATCTCGTTTTGAACAGGAGCTGTCTCACATCCTCCCAGCGCGTAGCTATGAATGCGAACAGGTATGATCAGATAGTGCAACACGGTGTCCATGGAGGCCGTTTTTTGTGATCAAATGACTACCCCCCATTTGTGTACCTGTTGCGCAAGTTTACACTTCTGGTCATGAACCTCGTGGAGGTTTCAAGTGAGAGCCCCATCTCGGAATGGAACCGCCGTCCATTCTTGCAGCTGCTACACATGCCGGAGACTAATCATTGTAGGTAACTGTCAGGTCCCAGGGAGAGCCCCATTCGAAAAGGAATTGCCGTCCTGGTAAGTGCTGTTGGGTTGTAAGACGCTTGCACGCGGCGCTAAGGCGAGAGCCTCACTTTGAGAAGGTACCGCCCAGAATCCTTGCAGTTGGTGTAATACTTATATTCAGGCGAACGTGCGTGGCTGTAAGGCGAGAGCCCCATGTTGAAAGGAACCGCTCACCATCCCGCTTATTGTTGCAATATTGAACGGTGAGTGTGCGCGCCGTCAAGGCGAAAGCCTCATTTTTAACATTTCCCCCATCCATCCTCGTAATTGTTGCAAGCTGTCAAGACGAATGTGCGCGGCGCTAAGGCCAGTGCCCCGTAATGAAGCCACACGTGGGCCATCTCTGCAGCTGTTGCAATTTTGAAAAGAAATCCGGATCGTATGGTCGGTTCCGAGGTCTCAGCTGAGATGCCCTACCTGCACGCGTCCGGGTGCGACAGGGAGGAGTATGCGTAAGGAGAGCGACGGAGACAAGGAGGGAGGAGGGACCAGCAGAGATGAGAGGGAAGGAGAGAGAGGGAGGGAGGGAGGGGAGGGAGGGGGGAGGGAGGAGGGAGGGAGGACGGACGGCGGAACTGTCCGTGGCCACTTGGGCCCAAGCCATTGCTCAAAGCCCTCAGGATCGGTCTCCCTTGTCGGCATGCTGGACTGGTGCGCCGGGCTGCCTGAGATGGCGCGAGGGCGGCGGCCACGCCTGTGAGGTCCGTGGGCTGCCAGCGAGGCTGGCGGCCCTTCGCGCGCTCGGGCGTCGGGCGCGGAGGCGGGCTGCCGAAGCGCAGCAGCGCGCGGTCC